AGTCAGCCGATTCCGCTGATACAATTGTAGAAACGAGTATGCTTGAATAACGCACACACAAAAAAATAATTCGGACTCTCTGCGATGTTACGCCTTACGCCTTGAGTCTCGCAGAGCTATCTAAGGGGGCGAGGCGCGCGGAGGGGAACGGACCGGCACGCAGCGCGCGCGAATAGGCGATTGATGCCGAGCGCGACCGAACATTCGCGAGCCGATCGTCACGAAAAAATGCACGTCTCGCACACGTGATTTCGTCGAGGGAGACAGAAAATAAACATGCTATACATTTAGTATACCAAACAACGCCGCCCCCCTTGAAAGGACAAACTTTCAAAGAAAAAACCCGAAGTACTCACTAATGAGAAGAGTCATGCAATCTTATTCAAGTATCGCTTGTTAAATGGATAAGATCGCAAAATTTGACAAATAATATTGAATAAAACTTAAAGCTAGTTACATAGATAATTCGCAATAGATACAATGACTTACTGACTAAAGTTAGCGCTAAATAATAATTAGACGGCTATTGAGGGTGGGTCTATCGGTAAGATCGCGAGCCTAGACAACGGTCTGACAAACGAACTCTTGGAGGTTTTAATGGTAGCAGTTCTGGCAATGTTATCTGAACCAGGATGTACCTCCTGAACGCCGACCTAGGGTCCACTAAAGTGGCGCTAAATTTTGCTGCTTTATCAGCACGAGCTAATTGGGTTCGAGTTGAATACCCGTATTACTTTGCCATTTGGATCACTCCTGTAAAGAGTGGAGATACTCATCGCTCCACCTGCGCCAAAAGTGTTGTCGGATCTGCTCTACACGTTGCCATCGCATGAGTCGGTTTTCATTCACGTCGCTCAAATCGCTGCAAGGAAAACTGTTCAGTGCGGTGCCAATCAAAAAATGACCTGGGGTAAGATAATTCAGATCGTTTGGATCCGAGCTCAGCTGAGTAAGGGGACGTGAGTTAAGGATCGCCTCAATTTCGCAGAGCACGGTTTGTAATTCTTCGAAGGTCAAGTGAGTCTTGCCAACGATTCATGTCATGTGAAATTTTGCGGATTTTACTGCCGCTTCCCACAATCCGCCGAAGTGCGGAGCGTTAGGGGGAATGAAGTTCCACGAAATTTTTTGTTCGGAACAAAATTGTTCGATTTGAGACATATTCGTCTGTTTAAGATAAAAATCGTACAGCTCTTTAAGTTGCTTCTGAGCGCCGACAAAAGTGGTCTTATTGTCCGAATACATATGAGACGGTTTGCCTCTACGCGATATAAAACGTTTAAACGCGGCAAGAAACGCGTCTAAAGTTAAGTCGCTAACTAACTCAATATGGACCGCTTTAGTGGCAAAACAAACGAAAATTGCTATATATGCTTTATGATTGCGAGCGTTGCGCCTTTTACCTTCGCGTAATGTTACTGGGCCGGCATAATCTATCCCAGTGCGAGAAAATGGTCTAGACACTGTGACTCGACTCGCGGGTAACGAACCCATCATAGCTTGCGATTGAAGCGGTTTAGACTTAAAGCACGTTACGCATTTTTGAATGACCCTTCGTACGGTAGATCGCAAAGCTAAAGGCCAAAATCGTTGTCGGATAGCCGCCATAGTGGCTTGGGCTCCTGTGTGCATGTTACGAACATGCTCGTACTCTATTACGTGTCTAGTTAGATCGTGGCTACGAGGTAACAGTATGGGATGACACGCGTCAATTGGTAAATTCGAATTTTTCAACCTACCGCCTACTCGCATTACCCCGGTCTCGTCCATGTAAGGAGATAATGATAGCAGGCCGCTCGAGGTGCTAATAGATTTTCCCTGGTTCAAAGCTTTGTATTCACTGGAGAACGCTTGTTTCTGCACGAACTTGCACATAAGACGTAAAGCTAAAGCAATTTCAGAGGAAGTTATGATTTTGGTCGGCGTACTTGGACAGTATGCTCTACAGAACCTCAAACAGTAGGCTATTATACGACATATTTTGTTTAGACTTGAGCGTTCGGACAATAGTTTAGTAACGAGACACTCATCCACAGTGGCGGCATTGGTAACAACCTTCCTTTGCTCGGGAAGGTCGTTTTCTAAATGAACGAAGCTACTACTCGGCCAGTCGTTGTTCAATTGAAGAAAGCTAGGTCCATGCCACCACATGGATGAATTGGCTAATTCATAAGGATTTAGTCCACGCGACAAAATGTCGGCGGGATTGTTCGCAGAAGTGACGTGATGCCAATCACTGATTTCGGTAAGACGTTGGATCTCCCCGACTCTATTCGATACGAATACCGACCATCTGCGAGACTGTGACGATATCCAATTTAATACAATGGAGGCATCTAACCAGTAGAACCTTTGAATGTCCATTAACTCTAAAGTTTTGCTAGTT